ATTTTAACGGCCGAACCAACTCAGCAAACAATTTTACAGGAATTTGGCCCAATTAAAATAAAAAATAAAAGAATATGTAAAATTAGTTACTAGAAAATTTAATGAAATTTAGAATATATACATATATTTTTTTAACAATAGATTCCAAAAATTATAAGATAATTAAATTAAAATAGAAAAATAAGATAATATCCTTAATATCAAATGAAATTGAAAAAAAAAATACATAATTTATAAATTAGAAGAAAATTTAATTTAAAAATGAAAAATAATAATTAAAATAAATAATGAAAAAAACAGGTCTCCAAAAATTAAAATAGATTTAAAAAAAATTTCTTTTGAAAAGAAAATCTAAAACTAAAAGTAAAGTAAAAAAGGAGGAAAAAATATAGATTTCCAAAAATTAAATGAAATTAAACAAAATACATTTTTTTACAGCCGGTTTCACTTACAACTTAAATTTAAAATAATTTTTTGTTTTCTGTTAGTTTCCATATAAAATTAAAAAATAAAATCATTTTGCACTTAAATTGCTTTTGTGAAATTGGCTGTTAAGCCATAAAATTTAAAAAGTAAATTAAGAAAGAAAAAATATAATTTATAAAATTTAAATGAAATTAAAAAAAATATATATATCTCTTTTTTAAAACAATAAAACCTTAAAAATAAAAAGAAAAGATAAAAGAATTAATTTTACTTAGTTTTCTTTTAATTTTAAATTTTTTTGTATTTTTTTTCTTTTTTTAATTAATTCTAAGTTTTTATTGTTTTAAAAAGGAAAACATATGTACATATATATTTTTTTATTCATTTAATTTTCGAGAACTTATTGCTAAAATACAAACAGAATAACGCCAAGATCTTCTCGTTAACATTTGACTTTCGAAAGGCAGCAAAGATCCTTTAAGATAATTGCAGAACAGACAAATGTCTTACGAAGCTATAGTCAGTTGAGTTTTATAGTAATTTTTCATAATTTATTTTAACTTATTTCATTATTTGCATAGCTGTTTAAAAAATTCCCACCATCCGAGTCGAATGAACAGACTGACACTTATTGTAGTTTGCAATTACTAGGTAAATATTTAAATTTTAAAAGTGGAACCTACCCATTTGAGTACAGAAAAAATTTTACTACAATCAGTTTAAGTTATAACATTTATATTAGTAATTAGTGGTAAAATATTTAATTAATTGATATGTATTGCACTTTGGCTTTTCTAGACTTTTTCTCATACGTAAGTAAATAACTACGTACGAATTCGTTGCTAATTTCATATTTGTATCGGCGATTCCGTTGGCGGTCGCTCTTTTAGGAACTCCATTGGAGCAGCTTCGGGCGCCCGGCATCGCCTTCTGCGACGTTTTCGTTTTTGTGGCAAATTAGGTGGTGGACTCAAACCCATGCCGCCTAAAGCCAAATTTGCCTCGTCCACGTTGAAGACAGGATAACGGGGTGTAAATGGTGCATCCACACTAACTATATTGGCATCATTGTCAGCTATATTGGTACTCATGAACATCGCCTCCTCATAGGTGGGTGGAGCTGAAAAATATATTGAAAAAAAGTAAAATAAAACATTTATTTGTAAAAAGTAAGCAAGTGTATTGTATACTGAATTATTGCGAAATTTGCATATTTATGTAAAATTTTCATTAAAAAAATTACGGTATCATCGGCTCATTTCAAAATATATTATAACGGAACCGAGAGGTAAAAATTATCACCTTTCAGTTGGTAGACATTGCAATAATACCCAGAATAGGGAAATTTTTAAAAAGCCATTTCGGATCAAAAATGCATCGCTTCCTTGTTTAGAACAATTTTGCTTTACCAACGTATGTCCTATCTTTTAAAAATTCTCAATCATGCAACGTTTTTTACGCTTTCATATCACTCCAAAGGTTTAGACAATGGTTCGCCGCAGGCTTCTTAAAAATCAAAAAAGGCTAAAAATTGTCTAGTTATTTATCAACGTTTTTCGTCGATAATTTTTACAGGTTTTAGGAGCCTTGGAGGGGTCTTCTAACTTAACACGTAGCAAAACGTATACGGTACAAAGTAACTTACCGGTAAACCTTCTGCTTTGGAACTAAAACGTGACTTAACTTTTTTTTATCTTTGGAGGACTTCGGCAGGACTTAGAATTGACCCGATACATTCCAGTTTATCGATAAATTTCAAGGATTTGATACATATCTATAATTCGATTTATTTCAAAAACACTAAAATCCGATAAGTCAACAAAATTCGTTAACTAGACCAATTTCAATAACTATGAAATTCGAGGGCTCGATAAATTTCAATAACTCAAAAATGTTAATTCTTTGTACAACTTTATAAATTTTTAGTTTTAACAGCTCCTAATTTTTCGAAAGCTATTGAAAAATTTCGATTAATCGTTACACTCTAATCTCACGATAAAATTCGATAAGCAATGATAACTCGATAAGCTTATATAACCTTGAAATTTCGATAAATCGATATAGTTTAAAACTCCATTAACCTCGATTCAATGAATCAGCCGATTTCAGGAGATCAATAATTATCGATAACTGTGTAAGTTGGAAGAACTCCATGCATTACGATAACACGACAAATTTAATGATAATTCATTAAATCTCGATAACTTTCTTTAACATGACAAGTTTCGATAAACCCAGAAATTTTTAAAGCTCGATTACTATCCGTAAATTTTGACAACTTAATTTCTGTGTGTGAGTGCGAAGATCTTGAAATGTTGGCCGATAGGAGGAAGGCCCGAAATTTTTTAGCAGAGAGTTAGGCGTCTTACGGAAGGTTTCAAGACCAGGGCGTACACCTGTAAGAACAACAATGGCGACCTAGTTACCGATGTTCAGAACGTACTTGAATTATGGAGGGAACACTTTTCCACGCTACTGAGTGGTAGCAGCACGGAAAGTTGTGAAGAAGAATAACCCGAGCCTCCAGTCGAGGATGACGGAGTCGATGTTCCTCCGCCTGACCATGACGAGGTACGAATAGTAATAACGCGGCTGAAAAACTTACAAAGCTGAACTATTCAAGTACGGTGTTGAGGAGTTGATAAGGTGCATGCATCAACTCTTATGCAGAATATGGTCACATGATCGCATGCCCGACGACTGGAATTTAAGTGAGCTCTACCGCGGAATCAGCCTTTCAAGTATAGGTTGCAAGGTCTTATCGAGCGTATTGTGTGAAAGCCTGAAGCCCACCGTCAGTCAACTGATTGGGCCTTATCAGTGTGGCTTTAGGCCTGGGAAATCCGCCATAGACCAGGTATTCACAATACGCCAAATTTTGGAAATGACCCGCGAGAAAAGAACCGACAGTCACCACCTATTTGTCGACTTTAAAGCCGCTTTCGACAGCACTTAAATGAGTTGCCAAACTGATACAGCTGTATCACCAGCTCCGTTAGAATTGGGGCTTCATACAGGGCGATTCTCTTTCATGTGACTTATTTAATCTGATTTTTGAGAAGATAATAAGAGCTGCGGAACTGAACCGCTCAGGAACATTTTACGACAAAAGCGTGCAATTGCTGGCTAATGCCGATAACATCGATATCATCGGTAACAAAAACCGCGAAGTCTATTCTGCCTTTTCCAAGTTGGATAAGGAAGCAGAGCGAATGGACCTGGTGGTAAACGAGGACAAGACGAAGTATCTCCTCTCACCATACAAACAGTCAGCGCATTCGCGCCTTACCACCCAGGTCACGATTGACAGTTATAATTTCCAGAAAGTGGTGAATTTCGTTTACTTGGGAACCAGCATTAACACCGATAAAAATGTCAGCAGCAAAATCCAGTGCAGAACCACTCTTGCCAACAAGTGCCACTTTGGACTGGGTAGGCAATTCAGGAGTAAAGTCCTCTCTCGACGTACGAAAACCACGCTCTATAAGTCACTCATCATGCCCGTGCTGGTATATGGCGCCGAAGCATGGACAATAACAACATTCGATGAGGCGGCTCTTGGAGTATTCGAGAGAAAGATTTTGCGGAAGATTTACGGGCCTTTACGCGTTGGCGACGGCGAGTACCGCAGGCGATGGAACGATGAGCTGTATGAACTTTACAACGACATGGACATAGTGCAGCAAATTAAAATACAGCGGCTCCGCTGGCTTGGTCCTATCGTTCGAATAAACACCGACGCTCCAGCTCTGAAAGTATTCAACTCGGAACCCGCTGGTGGTAGCAGAGGAAGAGGACGGCCCCCACTGAGATGGAAAGACAAGGTGGAGAAGGACTTGGATTCACTTGGCATTTCCAATTGGCGCCAGGTGGCACAGAAATGAAACGACAGGCGTGCTTTGTTGAACTCGGCCAATATCGCTTAGGCCGTTACAGCGCCAAATAAGAAGAAGAAGAATCATGGATAAATTTCGAGAATTATAAAATTCGATGATTCGATAAATTTTGGTAACTGCTATAGCTGATTCTATTTCGATTCCTATCGAAAAATTTCAATTCAGGTACCCTAATCCTCATGTATTTCTCATTGCCTCTATTTTAGTTTTTATCTCCATTTTAGTCTTAAATTGAACAGGTTGCAACAGCAACTATACAGAAATATGGAAATTTTTAAGCGACGGTTTCGGCCGTAATTGCCAACCGATTTCGAAAGTACAAAAACTCTTGTCAACTACAGAAAATTACCTTCCAATGGTGTTCTTGGTTTTGAAATTGGTTCGGTAGAATTGGTAGATACCTTGATTAGAACACAAAGAACACTATAGTTATTAAGGCTACCAAAAAAAAACGCGGGACTTCTTACTGAAGTACTATGCAGTTATGATACTTCGACCAATGGGCATTTGTCTTAAAGGCTCCAAGCTCGTTGTGTGGGTTTCTATAGACTCAGAATATTCTTAAAAATTCCAGTCTTGCGAATGTATTTTTCAAATAATTGATTTCAGGCAGTAAAAAAAATCGGTATGGCTTAAGTACATACGAATGTGCGTGCTTAAGGTTTGGATTTTACTCACGCAAATCAATTCCCTCCTCAGCTTCACTTGTATCTTCCTCGCTCACTGCTCTTATCGCCCCAATATCACTTTCCATTTCTCTAGTTGATCGAACGTGTCCAGCAGATGTTGTTGGCACATCTTCTCCTCCCCCCTCTTCCTCTAACCATTCTTCCTCATCAGCTGTCGTTAAGGGCACATTGCCAATAGTTATTGGTATAACGGTTTTCGGATTTCGCATCACAGAACTCATCATTGCTTGCACACAAAGCTCGTAGGAGACGCGTACAACTTTGCTTATATGCTCACAGGTTGGCGCAGTCGCTGGCACGCGTATAGTTTCTGCGAAGGCTTTGCGCATGTAACGCGGCACATGACCACAAACTTTTTTCGCAAGACAAATTTTCTCCGAAACTGTGCGCAAAGCTGGCGTATCTGAAGTGTATGTGGCGCGTAAATTCAACGTTATAATAAGCTTTTTACAGTCTACGGACGATTGATTGTCCACATCAGCGCTGACCAACACATATTGGCCGGGTACATAGCCTGTCTGTTGGAGGTCGACTTTCAGGTGTACCGCCTTGGATAGGAAGAAGCAGACATTCTCGAGCGCATCGTTGGTGGCGGGCGACTGGAAAATGCAAATGAGATAATATCAGGTTTTTTTTTTTTTTATAAAGAGTAATTGTATCAATTACCTTCAACATTTTACTCTCCTGATTTAAATCTAGCAATTTGAGTACTGTGAAGCCTACATTGTGTACGCGATCGGCAGCGCCGTTTCGTATAAATGTAACTTTGGCGAGGTAACGTATGTGTCCGTAAGTGCTTTCGAAGGATGAAGGACAGTTTGGTGGTATGGGACAGGAGAATGTGTAGGTATAAGTGCCAGCATCCATATTGAAATTACTACCATGTTCTGAGCCCACAAGATATGTTGTAG